TCGCATGTCTCAAACAGAATTGATTCATTAGCTTTCAAATAGAGTTAAACTATATTTATAGGGTGGTGGATAATTTATGTTAATAAATATAGACTGCATGAATAAATGTATATCTTTATTCATTAGCTTTTGAATAGAGTTAAACTATATTTACTTTCTTTTTCTTTTACAGATGATGATCATGATGGGAATTATTGGGGTCATCTTGATGGGCATTGTTTTCAGTGAGTAGAAACTATCATTTAATTTCACAAACACTAATCAGTGTTGGTTGATTTACTTGTAAATCAGACAGTAAAAATAAAACGTTAGTATTTATTTCATTTTATTCCCAGCATACGATGTTTTGCCACCTTGCAGTGAATTTTAGTCATATAAAGGCATACATGTAATGATATAGATAAGAAAAACAAATCTTGTGTTGCAGCTGCTATTTAAATACTGATAATAGAATAGCTGCTTTTACTAAGCGAACTAAGATCTAGTTGATTTATGCATCAAATTTAAAAGCTGAATTTATTCCTGAATCAGCATGGACTAATCAATTGCAATAATTTATTTCTGTTTTACGACAGTGTACTTCTACTACTGAGCCTCTCGTGGGACGCACAAGGACAGGAGACTCAGGCTTTGTGTGAACTCCACCCCTCCTTTTCTCCCCACCAATGCCTTTCATTGAATCCAGTGTGTGTGTGTGTGCAGTCATTGACGCAGTGCCTCTCCTTCCCTTTGTCTGTCACTGCATTTCTTTGTACCTCTCTTGAGTGCTTTGCAACAGTGCCCGAGCTTACTCAAAAACTCCTTCGGTTAGGAATATCTGCTCATGTTTTTAGATTAGAGAATGTGTTGGCCAAAAAAAAAAGTGATGCAATAATATAGGTTTGTAGCGCTGGTCCAAATGAACGCCTGAATAACTAAAGAGGGAAAATGAAACGCAAAGATCAGTTAAGATTGAGTTTAGGATCAAGTCATGCATTTATGCATAGAAGCCAAAGTGTACTATTTTACCCAGAAACAACTGCTGTGGTCTTATCACTACAGTATTAACAAAGGGCATCTGCAATGAAAAATTAGTAGTAAAGTAAAAAATTATATACACAATATTTGTTTTGAATTATTTTTAGTCCTTCTTCATATATAGATTCAGCAGTCGACTTAAGGGAAATCACAAATCGTCACTTTTGCTCTTTGATGATATGTCTTTGACATTAATGTCAGCCAGAAGATCAGTTGAGTTTGGAGGAAAAAACAGGGATGATAAAAGATTTGGCGTGAAATGAAGATTGAATGTTACATCAGCGACCACATTATTAAATATTTTGATTTAAATATTTTTTGCTATTTTTTTGTATTTGTTCAAGATTATTGTGATGTAATTAAATGCAATTTATTTGATATATTTAATGCAATTAAAAAAAAACAAGAAAATAAAAAAAAGGTCAAATTAATGGCGAAATTTTGATCCTGATCATATTAACCCCTTGCACCTCCTGACTTTACTGGCACCATGATATCTTTGGGCTGAAAGAATAACTACTGATATGCAAACTGAAAGAGAACTGATAATGTGACTAGTTTAATGTATTTGTAAATATTTGGGATTCAGTGTGGGAGCAAATACCTTATCAGCACTGGAGACGACAATGTTCAGGGATGTACCTCTGCATGTGTTTGATAAATATACATAGGCACTTTAATTACCTTCGTTATAGTGATTGTAAGTTTAACAGGACATTTTTTGGTAATAAGGACATATTGTCCAGCGCCTGAAACTATGAGAATTTGCTCTTATTAATGTGGAATTTAATGCAAGATCATCATGTGTGAATAACATCCCCTACATTCAGCATTAACCCAAACTGCAACGCTAATGTATGGCAGTGAATGTTATTCCTTAAAAAAAAAAATCCTGAATACATCGTTTTATGCATTCTATTCATTTGTAAATATGTGCTGCAGAGATGCATAAAATAACAGTTCCGGTCCCTGAGAATTTGGAGCCAAGCTGCTAACTCGTGGTTCATTTTAAAGCATGTCTGCTTGCCCACCATGTGCTGATTCTAATAAAGTGCTGATGCTGTTACTCGCTCCTCCCGTGTAGCGTGTTTTCTTTTTTTTTTGAGCCGGTGGGGAAACGGAAGCAAAAAGTTACTTCTGAAATTAGAGTTGTAAGAGTTCCCATCACATGCAACTCTAGTAAAGGAACAGGACAACGAGACTTTGTGAATATGGTATGATTTAATTGGTTATTAATCAGCAACAATGATCATCCAAATCACAAATTGAAATGAATCATACAAAGCGGCGCTACAGAAATGTTTCACACTACAGCACAGATGCGTAACCTAATTAGAAGGCGTGTACATGAAATGCACTTAATGTCTATTGAACCATCATGTCTGAACAGTAACTGTTTTATTAACATGAAAGAACATTTCTAGATGCAAGATCTCAGCTAAAACAATCTGTTTTCAGCATCTACTGGTACATACAGATTCAAACTAAATCATACATGAAAATTAAAGACAGGAGCAACAAGAAATGTATATAAAAAGCCATAAATGATATGAAAATAAAAAAACCAGGACCCATGAGCCTATTGTAGAAGCAGAATTTGTATGTATTCATATTTTGAAAAACAATGGCATGTCTTAAAAACGAAGCAATCACAATATTTTTGCAAAAATGAGGGGGTGTAAAACTAAGCACTCAACACCTATATATGACCGAACTATCAGACAAAAGTTCTGATGATACAAAGCATAAAATAAGACCGTTTCACTATAAAACACTGAACTCGGCGGGACTGATTTTACAGAGTTGAAGTATAAACGAACCGACGATAAAAGAAATAAATCTACAGCAAAGATGCACTTAACTCGAAATCCTCGAAAAAGCTGCAGATTTTCACAGCCACTACTTCGACTAAAAACCGTCTGTGCGATTTAAATTTAAAAAATTAGCTTTGAGTACTTTAAAATCCTGTGCACACGGACTACTGCACAGGTATGAGGATACTACATCAGAAACAGTCTGGTTTGTCAGTTGCTTTGAAATTATTGGCACAGGCCATTTGTAACAAATAAGGTGTGTGCTTAGCATGGTAACGTTTTCAATGGAACCGTCAATTGTGCATCATCTTTTTGGATCCCATGATTTTAACAGGCTACATACTTGTCCTTCTAGTTTGCATGCTTGAAATTATGCAGACAAAATGTTTTTTCCATGCAAAAAAAAAAAAAAAGAAGAAGTCAATTGTGCTCAATCAGACTGTGAGCAAACATTTCGGTTAATGATATTCAAAATAAGAGAGAGAGAATACAGTCTGGCATGGTAGGCAACATCAAAAGCACACTTCGTCATATAAAAAAAAAAAAATGCAAAAAAAAAAATATTGACATAGCCTATTAAAACCCTTCGAAAAATATACCCACCAATTTTCAATGAAGCCCCTTATCTTTTTATTTCTTTTTTTTGAATTTGCCCACCATCTCGTTCTCACTTGTGTTGTTCACTTTTGAACAATCAATGGCGTCATCTTCCTCTTCGTCTTCTGGGTCTGCATCGTTCTCACTCGCCCTGGTATCTTCATCTTCATCATTTGGATTTTGCGACGAATCATCAGAGGTGCGAGATTGTTTGGGAGAGGGTGCATCGGTCTCCTCTTCGTCTTCCTCCGCGGACGCCGAGGGAAGTTTTTCGAGAACGACTGCGAGTCTGACTTTGCTTGGACGTCCTCTCTTACGACGCGGAGCGGCGCCATCGGCATTCTCACCTCCCGTCTCTCCACCTTCTGCGGTACGAGCCTTGATTTTGCCGGTACCTGGAGGTCGGCCTCTCTTGCGGGGAGTGTCTCCGACTTTCTTTTCGACAATCTTGACCTTTTTGCCAGAACCTGGAGGTCGTCCCCTCTTGCGAGGAGTTCCGTCAGGGTTTCGTTGAATGACCTTCAGTTTGGTGCCAGAGCCTGGGGGTCGGCCTCTCCTGCGCGGAGATCCGTCAGCCCGCTGAATCTTCTTCACCTTGTTGGGAGAACCTGGAGGGCGGCCTCTCTTTTTTGGGGTTCCATCTGAGGCCCTGGCAATCTTGGCAACCTTGGTAGAACCTGCGGGCCGACCCCTCTTCCTTTTCAACGAGCCTGCTGGCCTCCCCCTTTTTTGTGGAGGGCTGTTGGCGACATCAATGTTGCTTTCGACGCCATCTTGTTTGGCTCCGCCGCTTTGCGAACCGGATTTTGCTCCATACTTGCGTGGTCTTCCTCTACCTCTTTTTACCTTGGGACCTTCAGCGATGGGATGAATGCGTGGTCTTCCAAGGGGTTTTGACAGTCTCCGCTTACGTTGTAAACTCAACCTGTGAAGTCTCTCTGATTCTTCCTCAGGCGTGAGCGGGATCTTTCTCGGCCTACCGGGCATTTTTATCTTCTTTGGTCGACCACGTTTCTTCACCTTGGTCTTTATGACTATGTCAGGAGAAAAGAAGTCCACCTTTTTCGATGGCCTAGCATTGGGTGTCGGCGCTTTCTCGGCAGTGAACTTCTTATTGAGTGACCCTCGTGGTCTGCCTCGTCCACGTTTGGGTGGATGGGTGCTGCCATTGGGCAGAGGGCTCTCGGTTCCTTCTTTATTCTCAACTTCCATCACGTTGCAGCTTCACGCTCACAACTTCAGACGTATCAGTGCCACGCTCGTCTGTTTGGTGCTGAGAATCTGAAAACAACAAGATGAGAGGAGAAAAAAGTTTTGAGATGACCATACAAAACATTATTTGAATTAAGAACTTGAATACCTCATATCGTTTTCTGTAAATAATAGTTAAATACGTTAACAAAAGTCAAACAAAAACTGTACAATGAAAGGAAAAAACATCTGAACCTATTTAATGAAATCTCGAATAAATTAATATAAACCAAATTTTAAGCCTACGTGAAAATCTATATTTTTTGGCGTTTAGAACTATTGTGTTTAATCATAAATATTAACCATTCAACAACTTCACTGAATCTATTTATGTAGCTCATTCAAAACGGATATAATTTGGGTTTTTAATTTTTATTATAATTTATTAGGGCTTTCATATTATAATTTTAAAAGAACAATCTTTGTAAAAAAATCATAGAAAAAATACGGTAGTAAATTAAAATTACGCAACTGAATTAAATGCCGTTTTTTTTCTAAGAAAGAAAGCGCTAAATCTGTTCATTAATAATAATATATGCACGGATATTTAAATATAAAAATGCACTCACTAAAATAATTTTCATAAGAATGGAGGGGTTATGAGGTGCACTGGTGTTTTTTTTTTATTTTTATTTTGTGAGCAATTTATTTGAAAACAGATCGAATGGATTGAAGCGCTGTTTGGAGACTCAAGACAATAGAAAACCCATCTCATTATGACAACAGAAAATGAATTGGATAGAGAAGTTCGAGCACGTTGCTAGTCTAACGTTACTTCATGCATGCTTAACGGGTGCAAATGGACATCTTTATCACAGCATTGAAGAAAAAATGCATCGATTTTTACCGCGAGATCTTATATATTACAAAATATTGACGATAATATTCTACTTGTGTTTAAAATTTTATGGAAAAATAACGCAAAATTCGTCAAAATTATTTATAAATACACACGATTCCATGCAGTATAACATGCATAAAAGAGCGGATGCTGTAGACTGGCTGCCATCATGTACAGTGAAGCCCGCGAGCTTTTGTAGTTCCAGGTAAAATGTGAGGCACTGGCGATTTTTGTTAGCTGCCTGCTAACCCGACTAAGATAACTTTTCAATGGAAAAAGAGACTACTTTCATTCCTTCGACATTAAAAAGCGGCAAATATTCGAAACACAACGCACCTTACTCGCAAAGCGCTTTCACAACAGCAGAGATGATCTTTTTCATGCATTCGACAATATTTTCGATGCAAACAGCATCGGACAGTGGGCGGGCGACTGTGATTATTTGAAAGGCAATGCCCGTTCTTCCTCGTCTGTCGCGTGGCGTCGACAGTTCGTGTCACAGCGCCGCCTACTGTGGTGGAGTGCGCAAACGCGAACGTGAAGAATGAATGTGTGGGTAAAATTTAAAAAGAAATAAACCAGTGATGTGTGTGAATTTATTGTGACAGAGCCAAAGCATGCTATTATTGTATAGCCAAAGAACGCAAGCGTATGAGATGGAATATTCCAGTTATGAGCTGCTGAGAAGTAAAAATCTAAAAAGTGTAAAAATGGAAAAGACATCACAGGTTCTTTGAGCATGTTTCATTTAAAGACCTAGGGCATTTCTTTCATGACACACATAAAATGCCCCTATTGTCTGACAGATACAACTAAGATGGCTTGAGATATC